GGTGAGGGACTCAGGGAACCAGGCTGAGGAGGGTCTGTGGGAAGAACTGGGTGCTCATGCTGCATTTCCCACCCCTCTTCCCAAACGCATCCCCCAAGGTCTGTGGCTGCCGGTATCTCTGAGTCCGGACCCGAGCCGGCTACACCCACCAGACTTGGCAGGACACCAGCACCCTACAGGCGGCCCAGGGTGCCTCCTGCTCCCGGGCGGGTGCCTACCAGGACGTTGACGGTGCAGCTCATGCGGTTCTCCTTGCTCTCGTCGTGCATGACGATGGTTCTGTAGTCCAGTAGGTTCTCCAGGAGGCTGCTGACCAGGAGGGCAAAGACCTCGCCGGAGCTGGACAGGTATTTGTGTTTCCGGCAATGTTCTAGGAGCCTAGGGGGGCAGAGTCAGAGACAAATGCCCTCATTCCACTCTTGTCACTCTGGTGTCATTTGTGAACCCTCACCGCGGCCCTAGCACTAGGTGGCCATAGGCAAGATGACCCAGGATGCGGGTGAAGGGGACGCCCACCCCCCGGGCAGCTCCATCCTGTCTTGGTGGCCTGGGTTGGGCTGTGACTGTTTACTCAGGTTCTGCATTTTCTTCAGGACTTGGTTCAGCTACCCCCATCACCTAGAACCCAGCCCACAATATCCTCCGTTGAAGGTCAGTTTGTGTCTGTGGTTTTTTCCGTTCATGTTGCAGAAACGGAACCTTTGCCCACAAGGCTCCTGTATGGGGTCTAGTGACTCATGAAGGTGTCTGAGACCATCTCTCCTGTGTCTTCCTTCTTCCTAACACCTGGCACCTCATGACATCCTGGAAAGCCGTGGATTGACTCCAGCTCAGAGGAGGTGTCGCACTTCATCCTAACAAGCGCGCGGCACTTCCAACAGGAGCGTTACTTTCAGACAGGAACGCAGAGCTGTAAATCAGACTGGGCAAAACTTGGGGTCTAAAGCTTTCCCTTTGGGCCCAGGTGGAACAAAGTTCTGGCACTTCTTCGATTAGAAATTGAAAAGAAACTTAGGAAAAAGGGAGAAAAGGAGAGAAAATGGGTTCCAAGAATTAGTCCAGACTTTAGGATTATTCTGCGCACTGCAGAGTTTGAAGTCATATTTTCCTGAGCTACTTTACCCAGAGAGGACAAAGAAAACAAAATATAATCTTTACATGAAAAGACAGTGTTAGGAGTTTTTTTAGTTTATCATGTGGAACTACTGTATGTTTCTATGCACGGATAACTTCTCAACTTAATTCATGAGAGCAAAATTGCCTAAGTCATAAGCCAGGAGGCTTGAAGGTCAGAGAGAGCTAATGGAAACAGGAAAGAGATCACCAAGAGGGCTTATCACCACGAGAATAGACCAAGAAAGACTTCTTGTTCCTTAAATCTAGGCTGTCTATCAATTCCATGGTACTTCTGAGTATTCAGTGTGTTGGTTGCTTAGGGAATCTTTAAAAAAAAGAAAAAAAGAGTTGGGAGAGCCCATCCCCAAGCTCAGCCTCATCCACAAAACTCCCATCACCCAGGGAGAACCCAAAGGGCCTAGAGGAGAAGAACCTAGGAGGTGGCACTGCGGTCAGTGTTAGGAAGTGGAGAGGACAGGACCAATCCAGTCAGGTGGCCCAGCCCTGAACGGTGGGAGGATCTGTAAGTAATAACAACAGAGCAAGCAGCCAGCGCTTTAAATAGATGCTATGCTGGGCACTGTCTGACCTACAATAGATGCTATGCTGGGCTCTGTCTCAATTATGTCTCATTTAATCCTAACAACAATACTTAAAAAAAAAATACTGTTTTTGGACATAGAAAAAGGAGGTGTTGGTTGTTTTGATCACTGGGCCCAAAGTTGAACTCCTAGTATGCAGTGAAAATAGGATTTGAGGCTCATTCTCTCTAATGCCCACTTTGGTGGGGTTTTAACCACATGTACACTCTTCTTTTTTTTTTTT